ACGCGCGTCCGCCTTAGGGCCTTGCCAGGTGACCTGCAGAGCTTCAGAAGACTTTTGCTTGGGTTTCTGGGTACTTGGGCAACTCGGGCGATGAGGCAATCGTTGGGGACGTAGCTCTGCAGGGTGCTGTTCGGATGACATGGTGTTGAACCATGTGGACCATGTGTTGGGATTCCTTTGTGTGAAGCAGAAGTCGTAAACATGTCCCGAGCTTGATGCAGCTGTATCTACATGACAGCAGTGCCAACTAACTTTGAAAGGAACCGTCGTGCTAGCTCATGCGGTAGCAACGCTGCCAACAGCAAAACCGTAGCATTGACGGATGGGATTTATCAGGCATGGAAATCGTCAAAAGAACAGCTGCTGTAATGCCTTTAATACCTAGCGCAGTCCGCAGATTCCCAAACTTGACGCCCAGACCGCTGCGAGACAAGCTCATGGTCATTTCATGATATTAGAGTGCCCTTCCCTGCAGCAGTTGCTTTGTGCTGGTCTTTTGTCTGGCCTTGCATGGCGACGGGTTTTTAGTTGAGATTTTCAGCAGCGTCAAAGCAGGTGCATAAGCTTGGTTGGCACTGGTCGTACCATCCGACCTCGTCCCATTTCGGCAGGTGCTACTCTGCCAATTGCCAGCTACAACGTTGAGCTAGACTCCTAGACACCTTGAGCTAGACTCCTAGACACCTACTACATATCGGGGGACCATTGCTACTGCTTCAATCCTTCCAACTGCCAGAATCACCGTAGTGCAGACATGGAGATGATGTGTGCATGTTTATGTAGCTATATAGCTATACGTATGCACGGCCTCACCTGTGTACATGCTCATGTTGTCAGAGTTGGGTCTCTGGCAAAAGAAGGCAACGCCTCTGTGCGACCCTTCCCTTCCCAAGTGCAGGCTCAACTTGGGGGGCCGGCACAGGCAGTGGCGCCAGGCACGGATGTCGGGCGTCGTGTTCCGATTCTTCTGTTTCTTGTGCAGTAGCAGGTCCTGTTGATGTGAGCCTGGGAGCCGCTGTTGCCATTGCCAATCGTGCTAGCTACTTCGAGTCTGCGAGTTCCATCACTTCCTCTTTGGCTTACATGGGCCCTCCTCGCATCTCTTGGGCTCCGGTCGTCCAAGGTGTGGCGGAGAGAGTCGAACGGGCAGATAGAAAACATGGAGCACTCAAGAATGAGTCTGCAGCACCATGCCCCCCACACCAAAAGCATAAACAACAACATTGAGCCGCCCGCCGAGTGAAGATAGTCTGGTCATTCCGGCTGTTGGAGCCTCCCTGTCCAAACTGTTTGAGTACTTCACTTCCTGCTCTCTCCTGACAGTCTGTGCCAGGCCGCTTCGGGTGATCATCTCAGGAGGCGGTCCTGGAGGTCTGGCTTTGGCCTGTGGGCTGGCGAGCACGCAGGGCTCTTTGGCAGAACACTACTTTTCGGGCTGGGTTGTAATTTTTATGCTCAAGGTTTGTGTTTTTATGCTGGCCACCTCCATCTCTCCATCGACCTCCATGCCTCCATCCCGTCGCCGACACGGTTGTTTGCTCGTGCTCATGGGTTCTCCTCTTATGCCCGAGGTTTCTGCATCTAGGCTATAGGTTTCTGGTTTTATGCTAAGCTTGCCTTTTTTTTTCTTGCTGCCCCATCTCCTGCTTATGCTCCCATGGGCCAGGTGGGACGGAGGGGGCTGGGTCCCACTGAGCTGGGGCTTTGGCCCCATTTAGGCAGGCCGAGAGCGAGTCTGACTTTTTGTTTATGCGTCTGCTTTCGAGCTTACTGTGCAAGGGGACGGCGGTGAGGAGGGTGCCCCATTGAGCTGCTTTTTTTTGGGGGGTATTCTGGCCTGTATGCAAATCTGACTTTTTCTTTTGCAACGCTTAAATAGGTTTTTGAATTGCATCCGGAGGAACAAAACCGTCGCCATTTTCCGGCCGTTCTATCAACAGAAGATGTCACTCGTGCGATGCTTACATGTCAGGTGTGTTCGCAGAACGAAACTGGCATGGTTTCAGTTTTTTGTGCAGCTGCGCCGACAGCTGCAAGCCTGGACATTAATCAACTTTGACTTTACAAGCTGCAGATAAAAAGCTAGTTGTCATGCCTATGTTTTCGAGGAGATCACCCTTTGGAACAAAACATAGCAAAACTAGCGTCCATTAAAAAATACGTTCCCAAAGGCAAATCTGCGTGTGAAAGTCGGTTTAGAACGTTTTCGGCATCGGATTTTCCGTTAAGCTTGCAGGAAGGGTCGTGTAACCGGCCATCTACTGCTTTCGATGTGGCACATCAAGGGGAGGAACAAAATCTGCAACGTCCCGGTAAAAAGGCAGGAACCCGAAAAAAATCGGGTCTAGAACGTTTGCGTTTCCGGAGGACTGCTGTCAGATGGGCTTGATTTTTTGGTTCTACATTTGTTGCGGTCCTGTCGCTAGCCCTACCTGACAGCCTGTCGTACGTGGTGACACGGGCCAAGTAGGACGGTAATGAGTCGTTGGACCAGTATCGCTACAGACTTTGCCAGGCTTGTCTGCGTGTGAGTGTCAATAAAATCAGGTTTCGCAGGTTCCTTAGGACTTTTTGGATTTTTGACATCAGAGCTTGGTTTCCAGGCCAAAACCGTTCCCGAAACAACACAAGCGCTTACGAAAAAGATTGTAGGGGCCTGGGTTTGAGCAGAATATCCAAAATCAGGTTTTGCAGGTTCCATAGGGTTTTCGGAATTGCTACCATCAAAACCATGTTTGAGGGAATTTTCGGGAGTTGGCTTTGGGGGTCAAAACCTAGGTTTTGCCGAGCCACGGCATATGCAATTTTCATTTAATGTAGGTTCTCCGCCCTTTTGAGGCCTCGGATTTTGCCCTTAAGGCTACCTGGCAGTGGGCCAGAAACCAATGCCGAAACCGCACGGGGCGCGTTCGAAAAGCTTGGAGGGGCCTAGGTTTGACAGAAAATCCAAAATCAGGTTTTGCAGGTTCCATAGATTGATCAGAAATCTCCGGGTCGAAGCCATTTTTTCAGGGGCTCACGCAGCTAGGATGGATTTTCGGGATTTGGTTTTGAGGGTGAAACCTAGGTTTTTGCCGAGCCTTTTTATTAAAAGTAGGTTTACAGCCCTGTTTTTGGCTTCTGATTGTGCCTTTAAGGCGACCGGGCAGTGTGCCAAAATCGTTCCTGAAACAGCACCCAAAATCAGGTCTTGCATGTTCCACAAGGTTTCAATATTTTGCGACATCAAAGCCGTTTTTGAGGGGTGCACCAGCTTTCATGGATTTTATGGACTGTGGTTCAATCCTGGGCCCCCAGTTACTGTATATCCTGATGTATGTTCATCCACAACGTGGCGAGCTTTGCAAGTCAAGAATGATGAGAATATGCTATGCTCAGGCTCAAGGTGTGTGTGAGAAAAAGAGACCGTTGGCTTTCCTTGCAGTTTTGCATGAGGAAAAGCCAATTCCGGAAACGGGAGGGGGTGCACCTTTGGTGCAGGGCCACCAGGGGAGCATAGGGAAAAGCCAGGTTTTGGGGGGAAGGGGGGAGAGCATAAGGAAAAGCCAGGACGCATAAGGATAAGCCCGGTTCGCATAAGGGCAGAAACCGTTAGCATAAGAAAAAGCCGCGAGCATAAGGGGAGAAGCCCATGGCATAAGAAAAACAACCATGCCCCAACTTTTCGGCTACAGCCGCAACTTCCGCAACCGGCTCGGGAGCTTCAATTGTTCCTGAGGCCTTGTCGCTTTGCAGCAGGCAGGTGATTGTGGTACACCGCTGCGCCACCCCGCTGCGCCAAATCCCCGCAAGCCTTTGCAAAGCGGAAAGCCTTTTCCAGTTTGTGTGGCCTTCGAGACTGCCCAGGTCTAGATGTTCGGATCTTGGAGGGCCGACCCTACGAGCGACCAGGCGCATGCCATAACTCTACCGGCAGAAACACATACCTATCTCGCTGTCTGCCAACGGCTTTACGGTTTCTTGTTGAGGATGTGCCTCAAGTCAAGTTTGCATGACAAGGGACTACTCCAGATGCCAAACTTTCAATATCGTGAGTGAGCACTTCAAGACAGTGTATAATCGTCTTCTCGAAGGATTACTCGAGGGCGATGCCCAAAGCTTTCCTGCAAGCTCGCCTGCAGAAAGCGTTGTGCAATACGCATGAGCTTATCCCTCATGCCTTGGGCCAGTCTCACTCGATGATTTATAACTTATGGCTTTAGCATCCCCCCCAATTGCTATTGAGCTTGATTGCTGTTGGGAGAGGCGCAAAGAATCGCGGGCGCTCCCATACTATCGGCCTCGGTCGCCGTGCCAGGGAGGCCTTGGATGTAGACACGGCTGCGCGCGCTGACATTTTGAGTTTCGACGCCCTGCCCGCGCATTCCAGATCAGAATCTAACCTCAACATGCCAAGCCTTCAGAATTGAACCTGTGCATTTCAAGACAGTCTGTAAACGAAAGCTGGTGCTGCTCATCATTTTTGTTGGTCCCTTGACTCAGGTTTGCCCTTCCAAGAGCACAGTGAAGCCCAAGTGATCATAGATCTTGTATTTCAAAATCTCAAGTAGTCCCGAAACCGAGAGGCTCTCATCCAGTTGGGAGGCGAAGAGCTATGGCAGGAGACACAAAGACCAGGGATGAATGCATGTGCGTAGAAAATTTGGGTAGATAGCGAGGTAGATGGATGGATAGATAGACCGCAGGTAGGCATAGGTAGATAATTCGTCAGATAGTTAGATAGCTCAATGGATAGATGCAAAGATAGATATAGATTGAGACGGATAGATGTAGGCAGATGAGGGTAATAGGACTGACAGGTAAAATTAGTTTGTGATGTTTAAATGTGCACATGGTCTTGTGACGTATTGTGGTCTAAGTGGGGTGAGCCGTTATGAATTTGTTTTGGCGCCAGTCCAGCTCTGACATGGCGGGGTTGTCTGCCTGCTTCGGGCTCGTCGTTCCAGGAAGTATCACCAACACCGTACATGCGTAATGAGGCGGTTACAGCTTTCTGCCTGATGGAAGTCCCCCCACTGCGGGAGGAGATGGCAGCAGCGGGAGTAATGGCGGAAGGCTTCACACTTCACTTGAACGGGGCCCGTTGGCTGCAAGCCAGGGGAACAAGTCGAAACTCTGCAATGAAACTCTGCAGATCTACAATCCGTGGTCGGCAGCGACTTGCTGAATGAGAAGCTGAGGTTCCCCTCTCCTTGCCACCGCCGGAAGGTGAGCCAGTGGTACTGCTGGACCGCGGCAGGATCGTTTCCTCGCTCCGCGACCGGCCCCTGGACTTTGTAATCCTGTCATCCCTCAAGCTTGTTGATGTTTTTTGATCGAGTACATGCCTGGGCTTGTTCATTGCTTCATGAGGGGGGCGGAGGATGCCCTACCGCAGCAGACCGAGGCTGGCGTCCATGGAGTTTGCCGAAGGGACCAATGTGCGCATCGACTTCGGGACCAAGGCCACGGGTCGGGAATAGTCGATTTGGCAGGCGCGCCTGACCCTTGAGCTCAACATGGCCCGTTGCAAGACGTAGAGATTCTGGTTCTTGCAGGTCAAGTCAGTCGATGTGGTTCATCGAACGGTGACAGTGCAGCGCCAGTCTGGAACAGAGCAGGCAGGGATGTGGCGGGCTTTCGATATCGGTGTTGAGGGTATTCTCGCAGAAGACTTGCGCCTTGGCCCAGAAAGCACGGGAGGCTTCGCGGAGTAGGCTCTACGCACCAGGAGGAAGAGCTGATCGAGTACGACCTGCTGATCGGCTCGGATGGCGTCCGGTCGCGAGTGCGCGAGGCAATGAACAGCCAATTGCCTCCAGGCCAGACGGCTAAGGCCGCATGGTTTGCATGTCATGTTGGTTCAAGCTTCTTGCCTACAAAGAGCGGCATAGAAGTCCACAGCCTAATTAATTGAGGACCAGAAGTTGTAAAAGTAATGAACCTTGTCGAACTCGGGGCAGGTCGCTTCGAGTCTGAGCTTCGCGTCATGCCGGGCAGGCCTTGAGCAGATGGTTCTTACTGGAATCCGTGCCTGCTTCGTGCGGGTGTTAGGTTGGAAAATTGATTTCCGAGTTTTGTCTCCGACGTCGCTGATTGTCAAGTCGAGTTGATTGGAGCCCGTGATGGATCCAGCATGAAACATGAAGATCGAATGGCTTCTGCTCAGATGGCAAGTGCTGCACCTGGATTTGCCCGAGCACTTGAATGAGCGCGGAGTTCATGCGTCCCTGCTTGACTTGATCGATCTACAGTAGATTCTACAGGCTGTAGACAATTCAGACAGTTTTTCCTCGGAAGCCTCGTCACTCGGTGTAGCAGAACCTTCTTACAGGATTTGTCTTTTGCTCCGGTCAGATCTGATTATATTGGTTATAGGCTATAGGCTATAGGGTCAGAGAGTGCAGTGCGCAGTACTCGTTGGAGCTAGTGTGCTTGAGCCTTCCCCGCAAATGCTCTTACGAGGAAACGTGGACATCGACTCGGAAGTTCGTTGATCGAACGTTGAATTCGGAATTGAAAGACTTAAGGACTCCAATGGTGACACCCGGAATCCATGCAATGACGGTCGTCTGCCTGCGTGGTATCTCACCTTCGGGTCTCGTGTCCAACCCGAAACGACTCACGAGGCCATGGTCTCCTCAGAGGCACCGTTTGGATTGTGCCTTGCCTGACATTCATTCAATTAGAGACTTAAATCATACCACCACATTTTCCGCAATGTCTGCGGCTGCCTGCCCGTTATCGAGACATGAACACACGTGATTGAAGGTTGCCGTAAGCACCCAGTGGCTGCTCCGAGGCTTGTTGTCTCGTTCACCCGCCATAGAACTCGTAAGAGAGCAGCTCAGGTTTTGCATCCCAGATGCTGCTGGCCCGTGCGGGCCTTAGGCTCGAGGACATGCTCAATCACGAGATGAAGGAACAGCAAGACCCTGGAGAGCCACGGCTGGAGGTGTTGAGAGCATGCCAGCACAGAAGATCAGACTACAAATTCTTTAATTCCAAACTCCTTGCTCCGGCTGCTTTTCAACATCCTCTGAAGCAGATCTTAACTCACTCAGGCATTGCGTGATTGTGTCATGGAGTTCGGACGATGCCCCCGAAGAGTTGCTGGAGGCCGCCAGGTTCAAGTCCATGTCACTGTTTGTCTAGACCACGTCACCACGTTTGCTTATCAAGCTCCCGCAATCTGCCCACCGGCCTAAATTCGAATTCAGTCCTAGAGAAATCAAGCTGCATCTTGGGTCCTGGGTCTTGGATCCCGGAAAAGTTTCCGCCACCATTTCCTGGACTGTGCAGGAACCAGATGCCACGCGCAGAACTTGAAAAGGGGTTGTGTGAGAAAGTGCGGGAAGGCTCAGACGCCGGAGATGCTCGAGGCCGTCCGGGCCCCAACTTCATCAGCTTCCGGAGCCGCTTGAGCCCATCAGGCTTCAGTGAGTCGAACGCTTTTTTGCAGCACACAGCGCTGACCTGAGGTCCTCCTACGCTACTTCCCACAGCTGGCAACACGGCCCACATTGATGGACGTTCGGGAAGGCAAAGCATCGGCATGTGATGTTGGGGCTTCGTCTTCCGGCCAAGATTTACTGACTAAGCTTCCGGTGCACCGACTTCGGTCTCCAGGGGTCGGCGGGTGGGCGGGCCCCAAGTATACATGATCTCGGATCTTTTTTCGGAATCTCTTGCATCCAAGGGCAAAATCCCGCGAGAAGCCGCGGAGAGCTTCTTAGCGGCGAAGCCCTCCAAAGCTGTTGTCAGCCGGTGTCGCCCTCTGCACGATGCGGACCATGCGCTATGCACCTCGGCGCTGCAAAACTTGGTTGGGAGGTTCCGCTGCTTTCGACACCTGCCACCAGATTGGCTCACTGCAGTCCATCCCGAGTATGCTGATTGCTGAGACGTGCTTACTTTCCAAGGCGTTCTGGGTGATGCTGCGCATGCAGTCGGTGGTGGTTCCCTGGGACAGGGCTGCGGGATCCCCAGTTGTGCATGTAGTGTGCACATAAAGCCAAAGATCTGTGTACACAGCGATCGAAAAGTCCATATTACTTGCACTGCATTCACTGCATTTACATCTGCGAGGCAGCGCAGCACTCCAGGATGCCGCAGCTCTGGCCACATGTTTGCAGGAGGCGCTTTGGAGTGGAAATCTCGGGCTCAAGGTTGCAGCTGTACAGCTGGAGAGACTTTCCCGCCTCGGATGCTGTGCGACCTGTTGAGGAATGTGCAGCAGAACTGCCCTCCCAAAGCTTCCACATGACCCTAGACTTCCATCGACCATCATCCTCGGGATGACGAGGTCCGGTTTCTCCATGTAAGAGCCACAGCCTGCAGAGGCCCCATGAATCAGTTGCTGCTTTGGGTTTCGAGCCCGACAAAGACAAACGCCAGCCTGGCACACCAGGGCGCGCGGCTGAGACAGGCGCTTCTGGGCCCCATGGCCCGCAGCGCCCCCTTCGAGGAGACAGTCGTCCCAACCCACGAGCTGCGAGGGGTTATCTGCGTTTTTGGCTCTACTCCTTGAGGGGGAAGTTGCAGCACGACCGCGAGCCTGATCCTGGCAGGAGTGGTCACAAGGACGGGAAGAAGCGCTGGTGAGCAACTGCTCTGCATGTGTGCGGTCGAAAGCATTTCAGGACGGAATCCGTCTGCATTCGAGCATGAACTGACCCAGACCACGTCAGTTACTACGTCGCTGTGCGAGCTATGTGTAAGGCAGCATTGCAGCTTTCTCCGAGCAGCGTGCCGACGAGGGCTGGGCTCTGCTGGACCGCCATGACCTTGTGATGTGAGGGGAGCCTGAACGGGAGTTCTGAACCCCTTCGGGTTATGACCGTAAGCGTCACTATAAGGGATTCGGAATCTCGTGAGCGATTTGGGCTTCGCTCCAATCGATGGGGCGACTGGTGCTATTGACTGTCACCTCTTGCAAGTGTGAACACCCCAAACCACGTAAGCTTCCAACCCTCATCCTGCTACTTGTACTGCACTTGCAGATTGGGTCGGTGGGCCTTGCTTCATACATGAGGGGTCCGCCTAAGCGCGGCTTGGTGGTGGTAGTAGACGTAGTAGTAGTAGTAGTAGTAGTAGTAGTAGTGGTAGTAGTAGTAGTAGTAGCAGCAGCAGCAGCAGCAGTACGTAGTAGC